ATGGACACCTGTTCAGAAAACTACTTTCAGGCAAAGAAGATCTTTCAATGTCCCCAAATCATGCCACTATGGGCACTCACATGCCTAACACAGTGAGCACCTATGCATAACACCAGCCTTGCCTGTCTCTGTGTGTATTTCAGGTCCTGAGTTTAGTCAAAATGAAAAGACTGCCACCTACTGTAATACAGGCAACTACATTTGCAATCTTGAGGCATGTTTAATTTAACCCTCTGGAGTCCATCGTGTTTCTCCCGCAGACATTGCCTATTCTGGGCATTCCGGGACATGACAAGAGGATGCCCAGCATGCAGGTTGTGACTGGCAGTTGATCGGGAATAATTCCCACAAAAGCCACTCCCTGACAAAATAAAGTAATAATAAGGTAATTCTCAGCTCAGTATAATTAGTCAAAGCAGCATAACAAATTCCTTGAGATACTTCCTAATATAAATACTGAAACTGTATTTCACTGTTCACCTTTTCTGCCTGCTGAGGCTGTTAACATTTCTCTTGCTGAAACAGTAAAATCAAAATGGTCAGCTAAATGACTATAAAAACTATCAAAAGAAAGGAGGACAAATCATAAAGATTTCTTATGTCTTTCTGTGTTTGCATCCTCATTCAATGTCATCCCTAACTCTTGCTATCTATAACTTCACAAATCTCACCCTGTAGATAAAAGTGAAGAGCCTCTTCAAAATTCATACTGTAGCAAGCAAGCAGCAGTCAGATCACTGACAGTGAGGGGGATTGTTTTTCATGGGAAACAATAGGAAAAAAAAACAGATTTTTTTTTTGCCATTAATCATAATTACCTGAGGTGTAACAAAAAATTAATGTTGAGAAATCAAAAATTAACTCATTAGAGGAAAATAGTAGATCACTTTCAAATTCACTATTAATGACTGTTGGCATTCATTAGCTAAAACAGAAAACGCACAGGAGCAGATACCACATAATCTACAGAAAGGTTATCTGAATGATGGCAAACATTCACCAAATACAAATAAAGGCTTGATTAATGGTTTAACAGCCAATGGAGCTCATTTAAATTTGCTCATGGGGGAAAATGCAATTTTCAAACTAAGGTAATAAGTCTCTGTTTCTTGAACTAAATTAACTTTATTAACTTCATTGTTTAAATCCATGATTACTTAACATTTAAAACGTATTTACTACTAAAAACTCAACAGTTGATCTCATTATTTTAATGTCATTAATCAAATACCAAAAAAAAAAAAAAACCAAACCTTACATTGAATCTGCCAACTTGTTAATGTGTCAGGGGTGTGTGTGTGTGTGTGTGTGTGTTTGGAAATGGTCTGATTCCTACATGTGTACACACACACACACACACACACACATGCACACACATATATTCTGCATCCTAAAATATGGTGCTATTATTTTAAAATTTCAACAAGGGCATGAATTTTGTATACAAATAAATCAGAGCCCTCAAGTTGCTGCTGAAGAGCCAAAATACTCTATTTGCTACAAAATTTCTAAGGATATCACTCCCCACCCAACCCAAATTAAATACATACGGATATGGAAGTTTTCTTTTAGGTAGAAATATTGAAGCGGTAGCAAAAGCTACTGTGATCTAGTAATGTCTTAGAAGATGCATACTTAGGAATTTAGGGAGAAGGAATTTTGAGGTATACAACTTACTTTCTAAGGATTCAGCAAGAGAGGTAAACAAAGAAAGTATGCCTGAATATATTCTTAGCCATCATAATAACAAATAATAATTCTAACTCTAGATTTTGGGTGTGTGTGTGTGTGTGTGTGTGTGTGTAAAATTTTAATATTCTTTGAACTTTTCTATATGTTTGAAAATTCTGGTAACACATGTCACATATCAGAGACAAGAAAGAGCAGAGAGCTCAAGAACAGGAGAATTCCCATTTGATATGTTTAAGCAACACCCAGCTTCCAAGATGCCATTCCTGAGTACTAATGATGTGTACGTCAGTACAAACAAGTATCTTTATCATCATGCTCTAATACCAGTGATGATACCTACAAGATAGGTATAGGCACAGACATTGCTATCGGTAGGCGTTTCAGGGTCTTATTGTCAGGAAGCCCAAACAGATTGAAAGACTCATCAGTTGTTTGCAAGGTCAGGCATCCAAATCAGTAAAGAAGACTGAAAGACTGATATTCAAAGGACTAGTCAATGAGTTGAATAAACATGCCCCTACTAAGAAAGCATTCTCATCACTGTGAGCTCATTGTAATCAACAGAACTTCAGGACTAAAGTCTCAGAAATAAAGTGCATAAGTCCCTTAGCATATTAATACATATGTCAGCCAGGGTATTCCAGATCATCATTTTAAAAAGCGGATTTAGTATTTACCTCTGGAATGTAAAAGGAAAGAGCTCTACATGGACCTGCTTCTGAGGGAAACTGGTAAATTATTAAAAATATATATTTAAATTCTCTGGAAATGGCGATAAGGTCATACAGCAAATGAAGAAACATTTGAATCAAGAAATTCTACTAAAACCCAGAAAGAACAATGACTTATGACTTATCTGTGGCATCTGTACTACAAACTGATCCCTCCCTTCTCCAACCCAGCCTAACATAATAAAAACTCTATTCTTGTCTATGTAATGAAGAATACAGGACTCCTGTCTTCCAACAACCAGTCAAGAATTAAAATATTTTGGGTATATTATCATGAGGAGCAGCTGTCAACATCTCTCATGCCCTCCCCCAGCTATCTACTACAGAAGCTAAATTCCAGATAGGGCAGCTGAAAGTCAAGAGCTGCCTTCTCACACCTAGTCTCCACTTGTGAAAGATACTGAGCACACTGGGGGCCCAAATGTCTTCACTTGGTTTATCTGTAGGGAAGAGCTTCTATGCCAGGCAAGACAAGTGAAGAAGACAAATAAAAACCAAATCCACTGTGCCACAAAGCCTAATCCTAAAGTAGGACTGTCACACAGAGAGAAACATATCCCTGTCCTTGCTCCATCTCAAGAGCCCTGGTTCAGAGATTTGTCCAGAGGAAAAAGAAGACCATAAAACAGAGAGCTGTGAAGCTCTCCCCCCCCCACACACACACAAAAGCAAGCTTAAGAAAGAGTCAAAGACAGTGGAGATTTTGTTGAAAAGCCACTAATAGAAAATTGGTAGCCAAGGGGTGCCTGGGTGGCTCAGTCGGTTAAGTGTCCAACTTTAGCTCAGGTCATGATCTCACGGTTCGTGAGTTCGAGCCCCGCGTCGGGCTCTGTGCTGACAGCTCAGAGAGCCTGGAGCCTGCTTTGGATTCCATCTCTCTCTCTCTCTCTCTCTCTCTCTCTCTCTCTCTCTCTCTTTCTGCCCCTCCCCTGCTCACATTCTGTCTCTCTCTCTCAAAAATGAATAAACTTAAAAAAAAAATAGAAAATTGGTAGTTTAACTAGAGATATAAGCTAAACTATTGACAAACTAGTTTACCAAAAAGAAATAGGGGAAAAAGACAGGTAAGAGCCCTCCTGGGGTCAGAACAAACCTCAAGTATTGACCTCAAAAACTATGCCTGGAATAGTCTATGAAGCAATTTATTCACCAAGGCATTGTTGAAAATAAGAGAGCAATCAGTTGGGATTTAGTGAAGCTTAACAGCTGGGTGTGGTCAGTGGGGGAAGCAACAATAGTCAAAGAGAAGCCTGCTAAGACAACTGTGATCCCAGAATGATTATGCACATGTCCAAGTGATTATGCACAGGTCCTCTCAGGACTAACATCACAGAGGAAATAGACTTCACCAAAACTGTTCAGCTGCTTACTAAACAAACAAACAAGCATAAAACAGGTAACAAGTCCAAGTGGAAGACTAGTACCCAGAGTTGTTACAACATATTATTTTATAACTGTATAATTATATATTATATACAATATATTATTTAAATATATGACCGGTTTTCAAAAATTATGAAATATCCAAAGAAACAGGAAAGTGTTACCCATACACAAGAATGACAGCAGTGAGCTGAAACCACCTGTGAAGGGGACCAAAAAGTGGATTTAACAAAGACTTCAAATTTGCCTATGTTAAAAGAATTAAAGGCAAAGGCAACCATAATGATAATGACAGTGTCTTATCAAATAGAACTTACCCAAAGAAGCACATGGAATTCTGCAGTTGAAAAATACAGTAATTGGGGCGCCTGGGTGGCTCAGTCGGTTAAGTGTCCGACTTTGGCTCAGGTCATGATCTCGTGGTTCATGAGTTTGAGCCCCATGTCGGACTCTGTGCTGAAGCTTGGAGCCTGGAGCCTGCTTCCGATTCTGTGTCTCCCTCTCTCTCTGACCCTCCCCCCATTCATGCTCTGTCTCTCTCTGTCTCAAAAGTAAATAAACGTTAAAAAAATTTTTTTTAAAAAGAAAAATATAGTAACTGAAATTAAAAATTTACTGAGTGGGGGGTCAATGGTAGCTCTGAACTGACATAAGAAAGAATCAGTGACCTTGAAAAAAGGTAAGAGTTTATGCAATCTGAAAACCACAGCAAAAAGAATGAAGAAAAATTAGCACAACCTCAGAGAAAATGGAATACCATTAACCACACCAACATACCCTCATATCTGGAATGCCAGAAAAAGAGATGTATAAAGAAGAAGAAAGGATATTCAAAGAAGTAATTGCTGAAAACTTCCCATATTTATTGAAGAATAACAACCTACACATTCCAAAAAGCCTATAAAACTCAAAATAGGATAAACACAAAGAAATCTACACACAAATACACCATTGTAAAAATTCTGAAAAACAGACAAGGAGAAAATCTTAAGAAAAGAAAAACAATTCTTCAACTACTAGGAAACCCCAAGAATAATAACAATAGTAATAGCAGACTTCTCTTCATTAACAATGGAGATCAGATGAGTGAAAAAACATACACAGAGTATTAAAAACAAAGACTGCCACCCAAGAATTCAATATCCACAATAACTGCCTTTAAATGAAGGTAAAATAGACAGCTCCAGCAGCCTCTCCAAACCTGCTTGCTGCACCTGGCTCTCAGCGCTGCCCTGAAGCTGTATCATGAAGAGAGTGACCTGGGGCCTTCTCCTCACAGGGGCAGGCCTGCCTGCCTTGGAAACCAATGACCTGGTGGATAAAGACAGTCCCTTCTCTTATGACTGGGAAAGCCTGGAGCTGGGTGGGATGATTGTTGGAGGGCTCCTGTGCATCGCTGGAATTTTGATGGCTCTAAGTAGAAGCTGCAAATGCAAGTACAGTAAGAAGCACAGCCCCTTACCTGAGAGAGCGGCTCCACTCATCACTCCAGACCCTGCCAGTACCTGCTGAGCACAGGACCAGCTTTGTGGCACTCTCCGTACTAGCTCCCATGCTCTTCCCTCCCCAGTTGGGGCCCTTACTCTCCATGACTGCCTTTCTCTCCAAAGCTGGGCCCTTCAGTTCCCATTTGATCAGGACACCGTCTAAAGCTTATTTCTAAATTAAACTGTCTCACTCTTAAATAAATAAATAAATAAATAAATAAATAAATAAATAAATAAGGTAAAATAATGAAAATCTCAAGTAACCAAAAACTGAGAGAATTTGATTATAGCAGACATACCTTACAAGAAATAATAAAGGAAATTGTACATATTGAAAGTAAGTGACTCCAAACAGTAATTCAAAAACACATTAAAAAAATCACAGAGCACTGGTAAAGGTAATATGTAATTATAAAACAGAGTATAAGTATATATTTCTTCTCCTTTGTTAACTAATTCCAAAAACTATCATATAAAGAAGTGTGTGTGTGATTTTACTGTTGGCCCTATGACATATAGAAATGTAGTCATACAATGGAATATTTTTCAACAATAAAACAAATTACATACTGATACCTGCTACAACAGAGATAATCCTTCAAAATATTATAGTAAATACTAGAAGCCTGTCACCAAAGGCCAAGTGTTAGATGTTCTAGTTTACAAGAAATATTTAAAATAAACAAACCTATAGATACAGAAAGGAGATTAGTGAATGCTTAGCAGTGAGACTGATGAACGTGGGGGCACAGATAGATGAAGGGTATAGGGATTTTTTGATGGGTAATGATCAGTTAAAAAAACTGATTCTATTAATTGTTGAACAATTCTGTGAATATCTAATCACTAAAATGGGGAATTGTTAGTACGTACATTATATTTAAATAAAGTTGTTACCAAAAAAATTCATCTCACTTTTCCTTTCTCTTACTTTTATGATTTTATCAATAAAAACATATTTTTCAGTTAACATATAAATTATTAGTGATGGATACTATAATAACAATAATTCCTATTCCTTAAGATACTCCTATTATGAGAAAGTACAATTATAATAATTGTGGTAAGAATAATGGTGAGAATACATATAGTGTGTTGGTGGATCCTTTAAGAAGAGATAGATACCTACAAACACTTAAGAAATCATAGGAGGTGACATCTGAACTGATTCCTGAAGAAGTATGGTGTAGTGTGCAAAATATTCCAGCTATATGCCAGGGAATGTGCAAGTTTAGGGGTGAGAGAAACTTTTTGGCCTGCCCTCAAATTATAATCATCCAGTATGGCTAGAAAGCAAAATTCAAGGCTGAGGAGAAAGGCTTGAGGCCAACAATGTGAGTAGAGACTACATTTTCTGGTTGCTCAGCAGATGTGAAGTCAAACTTGACAGTGTGAGTAGAGACTAGACATTCTTGTTGATCGGCAGATGTGAAGTCAAACCTGATGTTTACAAATGGGTACCACCAACTTCTGCAGTATCATATGATATAGCTATACCGTGTCCCTTATAGCTACTGACTCCCCGGTTAGTGTGTCTTACACATGTTGCTAGCACATATCAAGATTCATGAAGCATTAGGAAAAATTTTATTTGCAGTTTATACTCAATGTTTCTTAAATGTTTTGTTTTCTCAATCTCAAATGTTCATGTTTCTTTTTCAAATTAAATCACCTGATATCATTTTCTTTATAGATCTTAACTCCCTTATATTTTAATATTGTTTTGTCCTCCTGCTAGAATATAACTGCCATGAAAGTAAAAACCTACCTTTCTTGTCTCAGCTGCATCTTCAGTGCCTAGAACAGTATATAATGCATAGGAGGCACTCAAAAAATATAGGTAAATGAATGAACATTTATTAATCTCTCATTAATTCCCATTCTTTATGTTTAAACTTTAAAAAGTGATATTATATTGAATCTACACATCTTTTAAAAGATTTCCCATCAATGGAAGAAGAGTTGGTGATAGGAGAGGGGCTAGGAAAGGGTCAAACACTGTTTTTCTCAAAACTTAGGTTTTGAAAGACAGATAGCCTTATCCTTGAGAAATCTGAGAAAATAGCATTCACTGTCTCTTTCGTCTGAGAGTCTCATCAAAGTACTGAACCTTGGAGCACATGTCAGATACAACTGATCTTCCTAGGTAAGCAATGATCCAAAGCTCCATCTGGATTTTCTATTTGCCTTTGTAATATTTAGTTTGGAGAACCTGACTTACATGGTTGCCATGGAAATTGAGCACAATGATGAAACACGAAGCTTTCGGAAAAGTGTTGCATAAATGTAAGGAAGTGCTACTTTTATTAATGTTTGTTTAAAAAAATTGGTAATTCTCGGCGTAAGAAAGATACTATAGAAAACAAGAGAAGTCTTAACCACCTTATGTTTTGTATATTCAATGAAAAACAAATAAATACTTTGTTGCAATGAATCAAAGCAAATATAAGAAGACTACTTTTGGGTGTTAATTTATTATTTTATAAATGTAAGTCTATCATAAATCATAAGCCCTTTGAATTGATATATCCAATATAATAGCAATTTATTTATACATGTGCATAGGTTCTCCTGTCCAATCTCAGCCTCATAGAGCATGTCCACTTTCTTTTCGTTTTTTTTTTAAGTTTTTGTTTAAATTCTAGTTAGTTAATGTATAGTGTAATGTTAATTTCAGGTGTACAACTTAGTGATTCAACACTTCCATACATCACTCAAGCGTCTTTTCAGCTATAGCACTCAGCTCATTTTATAAAGCCCAATATACAATAAAACAAAGAGATAAGTAAAATAAAATAATTGGCAACTATAAAAATAAACTAACTTTATTTTATAAGTAACTTTTGCCTTTGCTGCCTTCTGATGCAAAAAGAAACAAGTATAGATCTGTCAACTTAATATGGCAATTGTAGTGGGAAACCAGTATACATGAAATGCTTATTGACCCCAATTTGGGACAATAAAAAGAGCCACAGGATATAATCAGATTTTCCATATGGAAAATAAACATCAAGGAACAACAGCCTTCACTTTTCTGTGATATATTTTTAATTACATTTTCATTATTTTTGGCCTATATACAAGTTTTATTTATCAAGTTTAATAATTTTAAATTGGCTCTATTCAGAATATAGGTAATAGCTATAGTGAATCAGTGGAATCATTTCCCTGCACCATTGGTAATAGTAACTTATGCTGGCCCTTCTGATTCCAAAATAAATGGTTTATTTATTGCATTATGGCTACTGCCATTTTTGAAGATTGTAATCATATCTGAATGGTATTCATTGAGTATGGTATGGTATGCTTTCCTCTTTTGTTCCAAAGCTAATTTTTAGAATCCTTTTGTTATTTAGAAAAAGAAGGTAACCATGAGAACTGGTAAGCTAAGGTGAAACCTACCTACAAGTTGCTAGTTTTCTGGATGTTAAGGGATATTTGCCAAATGGCATGCTTCCCCTTATAATGTTAACAAGTATAAAATAAAACTTGATTTTCAATTTAAATTTTTAAGTCCTGATAGTGTTCTGGAATTTCTTTCTATAAGAAGTGAACATCTTTTTCTCCACGAAGCACCAGAGGATTTAAGAATTACCTTTAAGGCTCCTACAATTATAACTCATTTGAACTTGATAAGTTTCATTTACCCTCCCAAGAATGTTATATTATAAGATCAATAAATAATACAAAATACATTTGCGTGTTATGGAAGGTCAAGAAAAGTAATTTTCTTCTGGTGATAGGGAGAAATATTAGGAGATGAAGGTAATGTTCAAAAGACTGTGTGTGGTTTTGAAGTTACTTGCCATGATAGAATAATCAATAGCTAAACAGGAAGACCTTCAATTGATCATTCATGCCTCATTGCTCATGAGCATTATTAAGTATTCTCTTGGTTTCTCAGCAGGTTGTCTTTGAAGTTGCCACATAGAACATTTTTTTGCATGACGAATTAGAATTCCCCAAATATGTGATACTGATGTGTAGCTACAAGATAAAAGAGATAAAAATTTGCACATCATTTATCAATTGCTCCCTGACCTTGGGTTATAAGATTATTTTTAGCAAAATATGCTTCTCTGTTCTTGAAAAGTCAGTTTTGCCAAATGGTGAACCATATCCTATGGATCATGTGGTCATATCAAACATGGGGAAAACATTCAAACCTAGCTGTAGCAGTGTATGTGAGAATTTCATAACGGAACAGGTCTTTTTCAACCAAATATTCTATTAAAAGTTACAATGAACTAAAATCACTTTCTTCAGGGATGTCATGTTTGCCAAAAAAATTATTAACAAAAGCGTTTGTTAAGTCAAAATGGAAACTTAGAGCCACTGTACATGTGTAGCAAACACAAATCAGAACACAAGTGTTAGGTCACTAGGAGGACTTTTACCACAACTACAAAGGACATGTAGCTAAAAGCATTAAAATGGTTGATGTTTCCAAAAATCCAAGATCCTAAAAAAAATTCTGTCATTTCTGAAGAATATTCTTAGGGATGAGTCAATTTTGACTAGCTTTATGTTTCCAACATAAAACATGTATGTATTCATTTGAAAAGATCTCCAAAACCCATTCTAAGGTAAGAGTGAGATGAAATTTATACTAAAAATTCAATCCATTATCCCTCAATAGTGACATATCTTTCATTAAAAAAAATTTTTTTAATGTTTATTTATTTTTAAGAGACAGAGCATGAGCAGGGGAGGGGCAGAGAAAGAGGGAGACACAAAATCTGAAAGAGGCTCCAGGTTGGAAGCTGACAGCACAGAGACCAACATGGGGCTCGACTAGAACACAGGAACCATGAGATCATGACTTGAGCTGAAATAGGACACTTAACTGACTGAGCCATCCAGGCACCAGACAAATCTTTCATTTTAAAACCATGTTCTCCCACTCAAAGGACACTTATTAGCATTTACTATGGGCCAAGATTTAGGAGATGAGAATGCAAAAGTAAATAAGCCACATTTCTTCTTCTCAAATAATGGGGAAGGAGGCACACAAACAGGTTGCAT